ATCTTCCACAAGCAATGTGTTTGCTCTTTGGACTAATTTATGCTCTAAAAGTATCCTGCAGCACTGAAGAGCACATTCGACTTCATACAGAGAGTGATTTTGTCCCTTGGCCACAAGTCACTCAAACCTAAAATCCAATCACTGAAAAATCGCCTGATGCAGTAATAGATCATAGCCATGATGCTTTGAGTGAATAGAGCTGTCTTTAAAGGAACACTCCACCGTTTTTTCATATTAAACTATGTTATTCCCTTAACTAAGACGAGTTGATACATACCTCTCTCGTCTCAGTGCGTGCACTCAATCGCTCTGACGCGCGGCGACACTTTGATAGCACTTAGCTTAGCCCAGTTCATTCATTAGGATCCAAACAGAGAAGCGAGTAGTTACACGAGTAGTTAGACGACCAAGTATGGTGACACAAAATAAAACGTGGCGCTTTTCTAAGCGTGTAAAATGGATAACTATAATGTATGGCGGAATAGCACTTGAGAGCACTTCGACTTGGCGCAGTAAAATCATCACTCCTGATGATGAGAGGATTTTTTAGGAGTGATGATATTACTGCGCCGAGTCGAAGTGCTCTCAAGTGCTATTCCGCCATACATTATAGTTATCCATTTTACACTGGTGTAATCATCTTACACCATTCTTGGTCGTATAACTACTCGTGTAACTGTATTTAAATAGGGAAAACGTGGAGGTGTTTGGTCGGTTCTCTGTTTAGATCCTAATGAATGAACTGGGCTAAGCTAAGTGCTATCAAAGTGTCGCCGCGCGTCAGAGCGATTGAGTGCACGCACTGAGACGAGAGAGGTATGCATCAACTCGTCTTAGTTAAGGGAATAACATAGTTTAATATGAAAAAACGGTGGAGTGTTCCTTTAAGAGAACTCTAAAGAAAATTGTTCAGTACTGTTTTACAGATACTTCAGTGTTTTCCAATTGTTGAAAATGAAAAAAGAAAAAAATATCCATATTTAACAGGATGTTTTGATGTTTTGAGTTTTATAAGAAGAGAATTTTAAAGAGAACTGTAGTTGGAAAGGCATTCTGTACCAAACTCTGTGACTTACATGCTCTGCTTTCAACCACTTTGTAAAGATGTTAAAAACAAAGAAACATTGATGTTTTTTTTTATTGTCTTTGTTTTTTCTTGAGTGCATTATGTGCTTTATTTCTAAAATGTTGTTGGCGGGCCAGGAATGTTTTAACATTTTTATTGTTGAACAAATAAACATTCTAGTGTTTTGCCAAATGTGTTGTCTGTCTTTGTATCTCAACTTAGAATTTTGAGTACAACTTGCTTGAGAAATTTAAGGCAATCAGTTTCCACACATTCCTCTAGTAAAATGAACAAGCAGACATGTTAAATTAACTGTTTTGTTTAAGTTCTGCTTACAAATCTCAACTTAAATCTGTAAGTTGCCTAAACTTGAGTTTATTAAGTTACCTGTACTCAAGTTTTATGGTAACCTCTACAAATACACAAGTTCACTCTACAAAGAAGTAGAGAGTAGTATCAAGTCAAAAATTATGACCTAATTTGCTTGAAAAATTTGAGGCAATCAGTTTCCACAGCTTTTCTTAGTAAAGTCAACTTATTACTTTTTACAGTGTGTCACGTACTAGAAAGGAAGCGCACGACAGGAATAATCCAAGTAAACAGTCTTTTATCCAAAAATACACAGGAACACTCAGGTAAACAGACTTCACAACCACTTTAACACTGACAACACGGAACAAAGAACTGAATAAACACAGGACTTAAATACACAGAGGTACTAATGAGTAAATTAATTGGACAACAGGTGAACTGAGTCATTAATCAAGGGAACGCACTGGCACACACTAGGAAACTGGGTCACACAGGCAAGCAGGCACAGGGAAAACAGAACCAAAACACAATGAAAACGAATTCAAATCAAAGCAAAGCATACACGTTACAGCATCATAAACAGTAAACATATAATGAATATATAATATAGTGCATATATTTATCAAAATGCACCTCTAGAGTTATTTTTTCTTGTTGAATAACGAGCTCTTGAATGGCTTTCCTGAAGTAAATGCAACATTACGTGACATTGTTCACAAGCTGTTTTATTGACATCTTTCCACGGTTTAAACACTGATAGAGCGATTACATGAGACATGATACATTGTTAGTTGTACTGTTTCTTTCAAAATACCTTCTGATGCTCATTCATGTTTATTTCATAGTAAATAGCTAGAGATGATCGTTCACTCGCGCTCCTGCTTGAACTGAGGCACAACAGTGATCTGTCACACCACATTAAAGAGTGGCAAAACCACATTTATTGTTTACATTTTGTGCTAAAATTGAAAGAATGAGAAAGCAGAACAAAACTACAAAGCATAAAGCTTATTGTGAATATTGGACAGTAGGCACTCTACAACTAATGTTTAGTGAAGTATAATGCTTTTTTTCACACATCAACAGAAAACAGCACAGACTAAAAAATCAATTTTGGAATTTAAGAATCAATATTGGTTCATTAAAATGAAGATTTATTCATTAGCTCTAATAAAACGTAAGAAAAGGCTTTTTTTATTTATGGATTTTTATAGTAGCTAATGGCATTTTTCTGCTTGCATAATCTGTGATAATAGGTTCCTTTCTCATTTGCACACCACCCACCAGCACAGGGGAGGGTGTCTTTTCTGCCTGACTGGACAGACCTGGTCTCAAGCCCACTATTCGCTCATGGATTCCTTTAATGTTTAATAGACTCCAGTGCTGGGATCTCCCCAGAACTCTTGGCTATAGCTTTACATAATGTCAGGTTGCTGCGGAAGTGAAGAATGTTGTGTGGTGAAACCCATGCTGAGTTGAACATGCAGTCATGTGTGAAGAGAAGGCGTGTTGTAGTGGCTGGTTTTAGCTCTAGGACTAAAGAGACTAAAGTTATTCTTTGTCTGGCTCTGTTCCATTGTTGTCAAAACTCAAAAGTTTCCAGATTTGAAGATGTGTTGTGTTGCACTTCTTTTCTTTTAAATTAAGTAAAAAATGTCATGAACAGAGAATGAATGTGAGGGATCAACTTATATAGCAAACACAAACGAGGATAATTCATAGAACACAGCTGAATTAACTAATAATGACGGTAACTATGGAGACAGACGAGTGGCGGGAGTCAGAACAAATAAACACGTGACAAACTGAAAGTCCATGAACAAAACTAAACAGAATGGTGACGTCAGTGCTGTGAGCCATGGAGCTTCAGTTGAGCGACTGAGAAAGCTCACCTCTTTAGTTGCCTTGGCCCTTTTTAGTATATATAGTTATAATTAAATGTATATATTGTTTTCATTTTAGTTTAAGTTTTAATAATTTTGTTTTTCCCTTGTTACTATTTCTGTTCAGGTTTACTATAGTTTTATTTTCCTTCATAAGTTTTGTATATTATGTATATTCAGATTGATGCTATAATGCAGAATATTAAAGGGATCATGAATTGAGAAATCAAATTTTCCTTGATCTTTTGACATGTAAGAGGTCATTGTACTATAAAAACATCCTGTACGTTTCAGAACTCAATAGTTCCTCGTTAGTCCAAAAACAGCTTTTACTGAAACCAAGCTCTGAAAACGATTCGTTTTTTTCAGTTTGGTCACATTATGACGCAATAGTGGAACGAAAGACCGCCCCTGCAGAATCTAATCAACTCCTACTTCTACATCTTTGGCCCCGCCCACTGGCGCTTTAGTGAGACGAGAAGGATCAAACACCTTTGTTTTTTTTGACATGTCAACATCTGTCACTGTACATAAAAAAGGTGAGAAATCAGTCATTGTGAAATCTACTGAAAATGAGAACTACAGGTTATTTTTTATGGTATGCCATAAAGCGTTTATTTTTAAATGTGATTGTTGGTACATTTTACTAGTATTTACCATACTTTCGATTTAAAAATTTAAATATGAAAAATATCCAATATGAAAATAATTTTCAAATAAAATAATTTTCTTTATAAAAGACAAGATTTGGTCCTCAAAAAGGTACATCTTGGAAAAAAGGGGGGGGGGGGGGGGGGGGTATATTATCAACAGGGTCATCTTATATTCGGAACAATACGATAATTAATTACACAAACGGTCAATACTACGATTATTATTACGGTTTTTAACTTGTCAATTTTTTAGGTTTTCAGAAAACACAGCAGATGCATTTCACATCCGTGCACAGCGGTATCCTTTTGTGAAAGTGAGTTTTTGATATTGAAAGATCGCATTATTTATGTAGAAAGATTGCAACAGAAAAATGCATCCCTGAGGTTAAAACATGCAGTGGATCCGGTCCTCATCTCCAGCTCTATTTTTCCACACACGAAGATGGAAATAAGCTGAATAAAATTGGCAGAAGTACAGAAGCAGTGCTATGTACTATGAAACCCCTTTAATAATACAAATACTTGCTGTAATACTGCAGTAATTTTAAGCAACTTTTTGTTTTTTGGCGGATTTAGAATTAAGTGGCAGTTCTCTCCGAAATAAATATATTTTTTGCCAGTTATTTGTGCTCACATTTCATTTCAATATTTCCCCAATACCTCCAATCGCTCCCTGGGCGCCACAGCAAAAATGGCTCCCCACTGCTCCGGGTGTGTGTGTCCACGGTTTGCAGTGTGTGTGTGTGTGTGTTCACTACTCCTAGTGTGTGCACTAACTTGGATGGGTTAAATGCAAGGGACAAATTCCGAGTATGGGTTACCTATACTCGGCCTTCACATGTCACTTTCACTATTAGGGGGCAGCCCTAGACGTTACATGTAGTCATTGATTGGTTTTCTCTTCAGACTGCATCTTTTTAAGTGAAGCGATACATTTGTTATTCCATTGCAGTTTTTGAACATCATTATGTTCTTTATGATTATATATTGCATCGAGTATCATATAGCACAAGTACTGTAACTAAAATCTCAAAACTGTTTTGACCTATTGTACTGTATTGTGTGTCTGTTAATGTGTGTTTGTAGCGAGCTTTACTGGAACAGAAGCAGAAAAAGAAACGTCAGGAGCCCCTGATGGTGCAGTCTAATCTGGACGGGCGGTCGCGGGTGCGCAGGACCCGGCAGTCGGAGGAACAGGCTCCCCTCGTGGAGAGCTACCTCAGCGGCAACAGCAGCACCATCTACCACGGTACACATAGCCACAGCTAAAAAAAACACTTTCGTAAAATATCACATAACCATAGTGCCACAGAGACTCAAGATTCAGGTTCAATCTCGAGGGCATGAGATGTTATTCCAAGCTGTCTTTACACTGACATGCCAATATCGACCCAAGCTGCTCAAATAGAATGGCCCACAAAGGCCGGTGATTGAAAATGGAAATGCTTGTTTGCTGATTGTTCGGCAAACAATGCTGCCATTCTTCGCACTGCCAGCGGTACTGGCTTGAGTTACTCTATTGATCTCTGTCCCAGACTGCTCAGTGTTAGATAAACCCTTCCTACAAGGTCACTGCAGACCTCAATCAGCTATATTAAAACATCTGTTTGGCATTATGGCTAAGCTCTACACAATGAAATAGCCTATTCTGGAGAAAATGGCAGAGTAACACGAGTAATAAAGAACTGTGATGTGTGCTATAGATCTACATTATAGAGTTTAACAATATCTTTAACAACATCTTATATATTTTGTTTGTTTAAAGCCATGTGCACCAGTGTTATTTTAGAATTATTTCTATATTTCACAATATTTTGAAATAAAATTGGTTGGTAACACTTTAGTTTAGGGTCCAATTCTCACTATTAACTAGTTGTTAGCATGCATATTACTAGGATATTGGCTTTTTATTAGTACTTATAAAGCACATATTAATGCCTTATTCTGCATGATCATATTCTATATCCCTTAATCCTACCCAATTCCTACCCAATACCTAATCTTACAACCACCTTACTACCTATTAATAAGCAGTAATTATGAATTTATTGAGGCGTAAACCCTAACGCTCAAAATAATGAATTGGTTTGAGTAGAGCCAACTCAAATTATACAAATTAGTTCCATCAAATTAACTTTTATGAGTATTTAGAACTTTCTTTTTCTATTGAGTTCACAAAACTTACACATTTTAAGTAAGTTGAATTGTTTAATTGTTTTGAGTTTTATAAACTTTTTCTTTTAATTTAGATAAAATTAACTGAAACTGGGCTAGGATTTCGATATCCCAGCATGCTTTGCCATGAAACTCTACAAAGAGTAAATGCTAAAATTAAGTGTTAAATAATGCTTTTTGTGCCAGATTAATGTTAAGTGGGATATTTAGTAGTGTTTAATGTTTTGTTATGCTAGTTTAGAAGAGTTTCTGTTGTGTTGGGTTTTTTGGGGGGGTACCATCACCAGCATGAGTTCGGTTTGAGAACAGTGTATATTAAATGTTTTATATTGCTGTACTCATTCACCAAGTGCTATGCTATCAAAGAATTGTGCTATGCTATCAAAGCATTGTGTTACCATGTGTGGACCCGTGAGTCAGTCCTAGAGCTCCTTCTGTCCGATTTTAGTGGAAAATCGGGTCCATCGGGACGTCCAATAGATTTCTTAGTTATTCCCGTTAATAGTGAGAATTGGACCATAAACTAAAGTGTGACCAATTTCTTTTGATATTTTCAGCTATTTATTTGGTTTAAATCATTTGATTATGTGCTTTTGCTATTTTATTAGTATTTCTATTTAGTTTTATTTTTAAAACTATATTTTTATTTTTAGTACTTCAACTTAAAAATGTTTTATTTCAGTTAGTTGCCAAGGCAACATTTCTATTCTAATTTTCATGTACGTTTTTAAGTTTTTGTTTTTCATCTAATGTTTATATTTCGTGAGCTTAGAATTATAAGGTTCTATCTCCACTTTTGGTCGAAATTGAGTTTTTGACATAATCTTATCCATTAGGTGTTTATTAATGCCTGTGTGGTGTTATTTTTGTAAAAAAAAAAAATTTTGTTAGTTGTTATTAATAAAATAAAAAGGTTCCATCTCACAAAACAGCAGGGATGTAAAAACTTTGATGCTCAATATCTCAGAACTACCCTAAACGGAGATAGAACTGTATAATTCTAAGCTCACGATTTTATTTTATTCAATTACTGCAGACTTTTAATAGTTTTATTTTAGTTCACAGTAACATCACTTCCGTGCACACTGTAAGCAGTCTTTAAATGCTTGTTTTGATATGCCAATGCCTCTGATGAAGTTCTGACCGTGTCAGAAGTTTGTGGTCACATTCCTACATGTGACTCTGCTCCTATGACATTTGTCTAATGAAGAACCAGAAGGAGTTTTTCCTTTATTTTTTTTTTTACAAGCTGAGGGACTAGATTGTTTTCAGTTGACATGATGCCAAAGATACTGTCGATAGAGTTGAACTTGTACTGAGTCCAAGACATTCCAGTAAATCAGTTGATACTGATCACCTCTACTCTGTGACTATAACAATCCTCACAGGCTTGTGGTGTGTTATGAAAGAGAGGAATGTCTGTTGATAGCGGTTTACAGTATTATGAATAATTTACTGTGTTTCCCTCAGTGTTGTGCTGTCTCATCAAAGAGAGAGCACCTTTGGCTCTCATCCAGCCTGAGCTTCAGTGAATTGTAAAACTGTAATCGATTATGCTGTGCATATTATTTCCTTCTTTGTACATTTGTGTTTGTCAGCCCTATTTGGATGTTTTCAATTTATTATGCCATCTTTACACTGTAAAGGCAACACAGATGCTGCATCTGAAGTGGCATATATACCTCAACAAGGTGCATTTGCACATACAATTTAGCTGCACAAAGGGGCATCAATGCAGAAGTAATGTTATTGCATAAAATGATGACTAAAAATATTAAATTTGTAGGCAAATTGATTCAAATGTTTTAATCGCAATTGAAGGCATAGTTTTGTTGTATTCAGTTCCAAGAAAGCTAAATAACAGGCCTTTGTGTAATTATTAGGCTTGATTATTTGTGTGGATGACACTCATTTCATGGAAAATGCAAACACAATATGATCATTTATAATGTAATGATAAAATATTATTTTGGTATTAATTAATCAACTTTCTAATACTTACATGTGTAAAAATCCTGCCCTCAACCAGTGTTTGCTTAAATATTTCTTTGCATGATTTTATTTTACCTCTTAAGCTTTGATAATGATTAAATTACATGTATATTTTGAAATGACAACAAAAACATTTGAGGGTTTGGTTGTCACAGAAGCAAAGCAGCATCAGAGCCATTTAAGGACTAGGGTGGGTCAAAGCTGCATATTTTTGCAGCATTGCGTCTTTACAGAATTGAATGCAGACAAGTGAAGCCTTAGCAGTGAAGAGTTTTACTCACCTGTGAATTGATGCCTTCTGTCTCTCAAAGCATGAGTAAGAAAAAATAACTTCATTCTTTCCTTCTGAGTCACTTCCGCTTTTAAAAATAGCAACATCTTTGTTGTTTCTTTCCATAACTAAACCATTGATCACTTTATCTCACTCTGTCTGACAGGCTTGTCTTTTTAAGGATTTCAGTGTTAGTGATGTATTCCATCTATCGACAAGCTTCGAACTGACATGCACTTTCGTGAGTATTGTCGGGGGGCACAGACTCAGAGGAACCCTTCTGATCCGTTGCTTAAGGAAACCGCAGGAGTTCACAGCCTTGAAGGACAGTTAAAAGGAACTTTAAACTTTTGCCTCAATGCTTTGATTTCACAGTTGGCTCTGACAGCACACTTCATATGCACTTACGGTCTTGTGGACTTACAATGGCCTCTGCGTGCGCGTGTCTGTTAAGTCCATGAGACCATAAGGTGTCCCATTTGTCATTTTAGCTGTCAGAAGGGTGCCCGCGAGCGCCCCCCTTTTGCAGTCGATATGCACCCTCGATGCGCCCTTTTGCGCACGATGCAGACTTCTTTCCGACAGTCAAAGTGGCGTTATGTCATTAAAATTGCAGACTCGTAGGAAGACCGCAAGTGTTTAGTTTGCCATTTGGGAAATGACCTATGGAGCTAGATCAGTCTCGTTAACATCTCACGCAAAAAATATGATGCACACATGCGTAGCGAATTTCACATGCATGAAACCTAATTCACGTGCACAAAAAAAATATACATTCACAAAAAGCAATTCAGGTGCGCAAAATAAAATTAAATATTTAGAAAATACATTTCACAAATGCAAAACACAATTCATAGATATACAACTGTGCACAAAAAGTTTTAAATGTTTAAAATTTACGAGTTTATCCTTGAATCTGAATGTGCAAATCATCATTTTGAGACTTTCCTGGCAGCGCTCTGCTCCCACCTGGGTCAGTCATACTCTTTAGCCAATCAGATTTATGCGTATCAATCAACCAATTACAACCAAGTATCGTGTGATATCAGGTCTCGCGAGGTAACGAATTGCTTTATGGCAAAAAACAGATCTGATAAAATTCTGATAAAATGAGCATCAAACAGAAATAACCCGGCGCCTTATACATGTGGTGTTGGGCGCGCGCAGCTCTTAAAGGGGCCATACCTTATTTCCACTCGTTACAGCGTCCATCCTACTGAACAGGTACCGGTGTACAGGGGGAGGGGATCCGGCCGTGAGTGCGAGCCATCTCTGCGTGAGTGCTATTCACGACAGTACAAGTACTCCACAGCGACTCTAGGGGTCGCTGTTTGACAAAAACGGAATTCCTACTTAGTGCTGCTTTAACGAGACCGGACAAAGAACACTGAAAACACAGGAACTTATATACTGATGATGATAAGGTGAACACAGCTGAACAGAATGACAAGTCATATTAGTAACTAAGACGACAAACGAGTGGTGGGAACAGAACGAAGGAAAACAGGAACCAAAGAATACTAACTAAAAGTATGTGAAAGTGAAACTAAGACGACACAGACAGACTATGTGTGACAGGTTCATTTCTGTGTGTTTACTTAAAGTCCCCCTGTGGTGAAAATCCAGCTTTTAATGTTGTTTATGTGTCTATGTGTTGTTTTTAAAATTATTTAAGACAAACCATGTGCAAATTCATAAGTCAACACCATTGCTGAGTATTTTCTCCTTAAAACTGTAGTGAACCAAAGACAGTCTCAAAAACGCGGTTTGAAATCGCTGGTGTTTCTGATGTCACAAACTACCTTGTAACCAATCACGTAAACCTGTGATCGTCAACGAGTGGATCTCTGAGCTGGTGTGAGTGTGTGGAGGTGGGGCTAATTTCTATATTCATAGAACCCCATATAGCCTAATAAATGAGGCAAGGGTGTAGAGTTCCTACAAGCTATTTTAAGGCATGACGATTTTTTTTCATGGAAAAAACTTTTAAATATGTAATTTTGGTCAATTTGGTCATATGTCATATATGTCAAGATGAGTTTTAAGGGATACAATTATTGAATACAGGGGGACTTTAAGTTAAAGTTAGAGATCAGTTAAAACAATAGTAACTTTAGTCCACATGTGAACTAGAGGTCTGCATGGGCTTTAAACTTCAGCCCGAACCCGGCCCGTACCCGAAATCATTTAACCCAACCCGACCCGAACATTACGGTTATATTTTAAGCCCGAGCCCGACCCGAACCCGAGGTCTGTTTCTCATAGTAAATAGCCTAGGTTTTTTTTTTTGCAATATGCTGTAGGCCTATTTTATGATTGCTTGCCACGAAAATTAAAAAATAGGCTACATTTACAAACATCGTTTCACCAAGGCACAGCGGCCCCCTCATCAGTCAGCACACAAGAAAAAAAGAGAAAAACTTTACTAATTACGAAACTTTGATGTGGTTGAACAGGTAAACAGTCACAAATTCCCCTGGAACTCAAACATTAAACTTCAAAACAAAGTTTGCACAGTTGCACAACTATTTACACAAATATAGCCTATCCTTCTCAGTACGAGTTATGAAGGAAGAGAATATGGTTTCAGCGCCGTCCTCTGATGGCGGTGTTGTGACTGAAATAGCGCGCAGGAGCACGCACAATAAAGTTTTGTACATGATATATGATAAAATAAAAATAATTCATATATCATTTTACAAAACTGTTTTGTAAAACGCTGTCTCTTGATGTTTTATTTAATGAAGATAGGAAAGAGCGGTCACAGCAGTGTGTTTGTATCTGCATGTCGCGTCCACCGCACATTCAACGGATATGTATGTAATGATGTGCATACATTGGAGACCATTTACGTTTCATTTATGTTTTGTTTTAAGCTACATATGTAGTTTTATTGTTTCAGATTTCTGAGACAGATGGTGTATAAAGTTGCAGACAACCAGTACCGTGACCTTACCATTCCTACTGTAATTTAATAGTCATGTTGCAAGCCATCCATTTTGACAGTTGTTTTAACAAGAGGTTGAAAGTCATGCATTGTTACTGTATTCATTTGTATCTTGCTGACTATATGTACACGCTCAAGGAATAAAGCCCTGCATTATTAAATGTTCTTTTAAATTATTAAGCGTTCCTTTGTAAAAAGACATTTGTTACATAAGTTTTAATTTGAACGTTTCTGAATCCTTTGTGAATAAAATCTATGTAAAATCACTTGGCCATGATTAATTGTATTGTTCCTGTTACATACAAAGATCATGAACTGACAGTCTCAAGTATGAAGGAGCACAACATTTAGTACAGAGAAATATATCTCTTTTATTTCCATATGTCCATAGTTATGAGATTGGCTGACTAACAGTTTGAAGCTGGGCTACAAGTTCTTCAGTCAAAGGCCATTGTACTGGGGAACCACAATTCCATTACATTCCATCTTCTTTTCTTTTAAAGTAGAAACATGTTTATGGCCAAATGATAAATAGAAGTGCAATACATCATGAAAAGTTAACGAATTAAAATGTGTTAAATCCAGTCATCACTGGACCTCTCTCAGTAAACACCTAGTACAAGAGGTGCAGACAGACGAAGAGCAGGAAACAGGAGATTAAGTGATGGTAAAATAATTGAATGGAGTTTACAGAGTAATCTTAGTTGCATGATCTTAATTGCATCTCGATGATCAGTAAGCCTTTGTCTGTTCAGCATAAAACTGTTTTTTTTTTACCAGGCAAAGTAAAATGAATGCTTCACAAGATTGTCCTGTGACATAAACAATTCTGAGATGACAATACAGCACAGAACATTAGTAAATGAATATTAAATATATTAAGACATTAATACATAAAGATAAAGTATAAGAGAGAATAAAGAAACAACATGAATTAAGATGTTTGTGACTGCTATCCAGATGTCAGCCCAAAGGTGTTTAATCCTGAAAAAAATGCAAGGAAACTAATAATTTACCACTGCATACTGTTGCACAAATGGCTTGTACAAATATCGTCATAAACATTGAGTGCTCATAAAAATAAGTATATTCACTATTTAGGCCAGGGTCAGCACTAAGAGGGAGATGATGTTTTGCTCACCCTATAGCATTTGAGTGATTTTAAGTGAGGGAGCTGTCTGAGGGACTTTGCAGCTAAAATACAACAAAAATGCATAATTTCTAAAAGTATGGGACATCTCGGACATCTGATTCCCACAGCAGTTGCTTACATCTGTTAAACGCTTTAACTGATCTCTAACTTTCTAACACAGACATTGACTTATCAACTGCACATACCTCTGCTTAGCCATGACTTTAACTGTGGTCAAAAGCTGATGACTTAACATCCAAGTAGGCATGCCCTCACATGATTATGATTGGTCGATTGATAAGCTTAAATCTGATTGGCTAAAGAGTACGACTGACCCAAGTGGGAGGAGAGCGCTGCCAGGAAAGTCTCAAAAATACACACACACACAAATCCATGGTGATTCACATGCGAATGATGATTTGCACATTCAGATTCAAGGATAAACTCATACATTTTAATCATTTAAAACTTTTTGTGCACAGTTGTATATCTATGAATTGTGTTTTGCATTTGTGAAATGTATTTTATGAATATATCATTTTATTTTGCGCACGTGAATAGCTTTTTGTGGGGAAAAAAATGTCCCGCACGTGAATTAGGTTTCATGCGTGTGAACCTGGCTACGCATGTGGGCTTCGTGTTTTTTGCGTGAAATAATAATGAGACTGATCTAGCTCCATATACGAGAGCAGTGGGATGTATAGCGTTTTTTTGTGCTTGCAGCAATCTCCTGTGTGTACGCTGAATACGTAAGCTTAGTTTTTGCTTTGTGTCTTTGCTAACTCTCTTTCCTCTCATTCATTTTAACCCTTTTCTTTATTTCCTCCCTTTTTGTATTCTCTCACACTTATGTGCTCCTGCTGGCTCCTCCTGCACTTCCTCGTTTAGTACAAGAAGCGGAACAGGAAGAAGTTAAAGCCATAGCAGAGGTTCAGGCCCCTCGCTCGGCTAAAAAAACCAAGCCGCCTACCTCCACTCCTCAGACTGGCAGTGCCAAGAAGGAGAAAAAGGGCAAGCACAAAGGTCAGCTGAGCAGCCTACTAACCGTCAGGCCCAGCATGTGCACGCAAATCTGTGTGTGTGTGTGTGTGCACTTGTGTGTGTGAAGGACATTTGTGTCATCCAGTGATTCAATTTGTGTCACGATCAGCATTACCTTCACTGTACAGAAATTAAAAAAAAATTGATTGAGGATGATCAAATGCATCATGACCGCATTGTTTGCTCCTTATGTACACTACCATTTAAAAGTTTTAGGCCAGTAAGATTTTTTTTATTTTTATCGAAATACTTTTATTCAGCAAAGATGCATTAAATTGATCAAAAGTGACAGTAAAGGCATTTATAATGTTACAAAAAAAATCTGTTTTTATCAATTCACTAGTTCGCCTGCCCATTCAGCCTTAATAGTAAACTAACTTGGCTTGCTGTCCTTGGAGGAGGCTCGAACCCTAGGCTCGGCTTAAACTCCGAGTTATGAAATTGCGCATAAAAGGATAGAGATCATTTACTGGAGGAGGAGGGCTGCTGAAAGAATTTGGCAATGAGATGACGTGGTGTCTGCTGCTTATATAGTATGCTTGTAATGATGATTGACAGGACTGAATGTTTAGGCCCCTCCCGAACCTACGTTTTGAACTTCATTTAATCCTCAAAAAATTTATTATGGTTTCCACCAAAAAAGCTTCTTTTTTTAAACATTGACATAATAAATGTTTCTTGAGTTTCAAATCAGCACATTACAGTGATTTCTGAAGGATTATGTGACACTAAAGACTATAATGACTGCTTTACAATTTAGCTTTGCCATCACAAGAATAAATTACATTTAAAATATATTAAAAAAGAAAACAGTTATTTTTAAATTGTAATAATATTACTGTTTTTACTGTATTTGGGATCAAATAAATGAGTTGTTGAGCATAAGAGACTTCTTTCAAAAAGACAGAAAAATTCTTACTGACCCCAAACACTTAAGCAGTATTAATGTATTCATTTATTTTTTGTGGTTTTCACATCGATTTCAACACTGCCCTTTTGCCATGCACGTAAAGGTTGTGTGTTTCTTACCCTTTGTCTGTTGACATGTAAAACAGCAATGCCAGTTAGCATTTCTATTGTTTTGAGCTCTCCTCCTGAATTGTTACACTATGACATTGACCTTAATGACCTTAACAGTACTGCTTTTTTTGTCATCGTTTTCTCACTCTCATGTTGTTTCAAACTTGTATGACTCTTCCTTCTGTGAAACACAAAAGAAGATATTATTGAAAAATGTCTTAGTGTTTTTTGTTTTTCTATATTTTCTATAGCTGACAATGTACCCCATTGACTTTCAAAATATGTTCTTCTTCTGTTCCACAGAAGAAAGAAAGCCAAGAAATGATGGAACAGTGTTAATTTGCTTCCTAATTGGAAAAAAGTTAACATTTAAAAAGCACATCATTCCAGTCAAACAGCAGATACTGTAATTTGCAATCTCTCATGTGGTGTGTTTGCTTAAACTATACCACAGCTATATACAATCTTCTCATGTCTTTATGTTCTCCATACTGTTATTTTTTATTTCCCCTCATCTCCTTGTGAGGGTGTTGAGTTTTTTTTTTTGTACTGCTTTCTCAAATGACAATGGACAGCATAGCACACAACGTTAATGAACGTACCCCTGGAGATAGACCAAACCGCTGCTCTACTGCCAATCCTTCCTCAAGGAATAACAAAATCCCCTCTAATACTGTTTGTACTGTAAGAGCAGCTGCTGTCCGCCTGCCATGACCCACTGCAGCCTTCATCAATACAAGACACAAACATTCATGAAACAGATAAATGCTGTCTCTCTATAATGCCCTGGATATTAGATGCATGGGCTCGATCCATCAAGCGGCAGCAGTTGTGATGCTTTTCGCTCAACGTCAGCACCATTATGACTCACACAAGGCATTTGGATTTCTTTCTGGGGGCGAATGTATTTTTTGCGTTTTATTCACTGAAGGTGTGACTTTTATTTGAGCAGCTGACATGGCTATAAACAAGCCTACAATTCAATAAATGAGTAAAGTCGAGTTTAATAGAGTGCTGCAGGAATAATATTTTTGTAGGTCAACCCAGAAGTTAGCACTTCTCTTGGCAAAAAAAGCCAATAGGATTTGTCCATTGGCTTTTGGATTATTTCAGAGAAAAAAAGCTCTGACTGTGACAAACAAAAGTTTAGTATTCTTACACATTTTGTCCATCAAGATAATCCTCACAAATTAGCATAATGAATTTTGACACCAAATACAATCTCCAAAAGCTAACGTTAGGCTATAAACAAAAGTTAGGCTTTTGCTTCTTGTCTGAACACAGCCATTTCACCTTTTTCTCTTTTATTACAATTCTGCTAGTCGTCTTCTGAGACTGCGACAGCTAAACCATCAACCATCAAACCTCGACACAGATCATGGTGTTATGTGACACAACCAACACAAATGATGATATCAAACCAAACATGCTATTTCTGGACCCCAAGCTTTGAAATAATAAGCTGATACACATGTCTTGTTCATGCTATGAAGACTAATCTTGTCTTGGTTGATTAAGATACTCTCTGTCTCTCTGGCTCTTTCTTTGATGATTACTCACTTGTTAAAGAGCCTCATCACAGGTCACTTTAACCTCAATGACAATCATAGTCTAAATGCAATAGTTATTATTGTGCAACCACGAGCACTAATGCCTCTCGGTCATCTAGTCAGAGCTATTTCCCTGACATTGTTCCGCAGACGAATCCCTGAAGGGGGGTGAAGGGTTTCTGTTGCTAATGACTTGATTTGGCCTGGTTGGATGCATAGATGGATGGATAGATGAATGGGAGCTGTGGGCAGTTGCATGTTGCTGTGTTTGACATAGGACAATATGTTCTTCCCCTGATAGTGACTAATTGGATGAAATACAAAACCCAGACTGACATAAGAGCATCTATAAATAGATGATAGCAAATAATTGAAACCCCAAGGGCACTTAAAAGCGTCAGCACATGTTCACTGAGAAGGTTTTATATTGCATACACTATTGTTCAAAAGTTTGGAATAATGAAGATTTGTTTAATGTTTTTGAAAGAAATCTCTTATGCTCAAGGCCGTATGTATTTGATAAAAAATAAAGAAAAACAGTAATATTTTAAAATATTTGTACAGTTTAAAATGTATTCCTTTATTACAGTGTAGTTTATTCTTGTGGTGACGAAGCTGAATTTTCAGCAGTTATTACTCATCAGTGTCACATGATCCATTTTCATTTTTGTGATTTTAACATGTAAACAAAATGTTCTGGTGCACCCTGACAAGAAAATAAAGGGAAAATACAACATTAGCTTAAAACATATTTCACAATTCGATTTGAGATTTGATTTAGATTCACAAGCTGTTTGGTTTATTTCAATTTGATACAGGTTTTGATACATGGCAAATTTCCTCAAAGAAAAAATCTCTCTCAATTAATGCTACAAACTATTCAGGGAACCCCAGATATCATAATATTAAAGGTTAAAATTAACGATAACACTTTACAATAAGGTTTCATTAGTTAACTTTTTACTTATCATGAACTGAGAATGAACAATACTTCTACAGTATTTATTAATCTTAGTTAATGTTAATTTCAACATTTACTAATACATTATTAAAATCAAAAGTTGTATTTGTTAATATTAGTTAATGCACTGTGAACTAACATGAACAAACAATGAACGACTAGCATTGACAAAGATTAATTATTTTATTATTTTTAAATAATCAATTATTATTGATTATTTATTAATTAATTAATTAGCTAATTTTCTACTCTTGTGAGGTTTATTGCACCTCAAATATTTCACAATATTAGTGTGACCAAATAAATGCTGCCTTGGCGAGCATAAGAGACTTCTTTTAAAAGCATTTAAAAAAAAAATCTTAATTAGATATGACTTTTGACTGGTAGTGCATGTGTCACAAAGTAATTATGCAGAGGGATTCATTTATTAAGATTTGAATGTCTGTCTCTATATTTCCATAAACACCATTATTTTGTGACAGCAAACTGGAAACGGGACGGTTGATATAGTCGAGTTAACAGTGTTACTGTGTTGTGGTGGTCCCAAAGGAATTGATGGGCCCGCTGCCTTCCAGGATGAGGGTCAGGAGCTGGGCAACCAGATTCAGATCCTGACAGTGGGCCACTCACCTGCCCAGGAGAGCGAGGCAGAGGGCCAGGGTGAGGCAGTGGGCAACACACAGTCACAGGGCAAACAGGACCTACGGGTCACCATGCTGAAGAAAGGTACACCAGCGATAGTCCTCGGAGTAACACAAACGAGAGTGGAGAGAGAGACAGATGGAGAGGCCACTATGATCATGATGACTAAGCCATGCACATTCACTGATTGTTCTTCAGTATTACTGATCTCCTAACATGCAAAAAAACATGTTCTTGTAATATCATCATATGGCGACTAACACTTTTAGATCTACTTACATGCTATAGCATTTATATTCAGTGTCTGCCTCTCTCTCCTCCTTCTGTGACATTTTTAGATTAGATCATGTCTACTGTCTGCATGACTTTTTAGAGCTGGTTTGAGCCGAACTGGACTGTGGACAATCATTTGCATCTCTTTTTCTGCTAATTTGTTGAACAGACAAAAAGTGAATAGTGTTTTTTTCTTTTCAAATGTACTCCGTTTGTTGCGTCTACTGAATTTCATGCCATATGCTTTTTTGGCATCAGAGTGCAGTTATTTACAGTGTTGTTTGCAGTGCATAATGCCTCCATGTTTGCTTTATGCCTGCTGCTGTTCTCTCCTCATGTTCTGTTATCGGATTATTTGATTAGCACCTCAAAAAAAATTTCTTGTTCGAAGGAATCTCCAGTAGCATGAACTTCGATGAAGAGGAGGATGAAGATGATTTGGTCAGCTCAAGTTCATCTCAGCTCAACAGCAACACAAGACCTGGCTCTGCCACCAGCAAAAAGTCCAGCAAGGTAGCATTTCTCTGCTTTTTTAGAAGTGTTCATTAATGACTTCAATAAATTAAGTAGATTTTTCAGTTTTACACAATGTTAACTATAGATGCAGACAGCAAGGAGGCATGGAGGGAAACAAATCATGGTTACCATAGTTACCAATTAATTGCTCTGAGGTGAATAAAGAGAAATATTTATGTCCACTGAAGGCAAATTTGAAGAACCCCAGGGCCGGCGGATTTATGCATATAGGCATTCTAGGCACATGCTCGCACGTTCAGGATGGCCTAATTACAATGAGGACAAATAACATTTTTTAATTATTATTATTGGTTCATTCTAATGCTAAAACTCTGTAAGACAATTACTTTGGGAAAAAACAACAACATTTTAAATATCGTCACTGTCTGGCAGAAACTTCATATCTCCACATTTACACATGAGACTTGGGCAAAACCACTGGAAGGCAAGCCTGCAACCTTTAGCCAAAAAAGCTTAATGGCTAATTAACACTGCAGCTTTGGTGGCACGCAGCGAAGGAGACAAGAGACTGTTTTTTTTTAAGAGAAGGCAGAGGAATGTCGTGACAGCTAGGACTCGGTATATGGCATTACCACAAGCAAATGTGTAGTAGTATTTAATAATAGGTGTTGTGTAATATTACTGTAAAATTTTCAACTTAAAAAGTTTTCATGCTGCCTTAATTTTACGTCTAGTCAACTTGAAATGTGAAGTTGTACTAAGTGACAACTTGGATATTTGAGTTGACTAAACTTAACATTTTAAGGTGGCACGAACACTTACATTTTTAAGTTCAATCATGTTTTTACAGTGTTTCGTGATATTGTATCAGTGTTTTCTTTCTTTAGCTTTCAGGTTTTTTTCAGTTATAAGACTTGAATGACTATTAGTGACATGCACTATTTTAATGAATAAATAGAAAATTAACAATTTAATTATAAATATTGTATTATATTGTTGTTTAACGAAAAAATAAATAAAATAATGTGTTCTCTTTATGGCTTCAAGGTTTCAACAAATGAATTAGACTTGAATTGTAATGATTTATGACTGCTGTGTATGCCTAATAATGATATAACACTTTATAATGAATGAAGGTAACAAAATGCAAAGATTTTAATTTATGGCTTTCCTTGGCTTTCAGATTTCCACAATAAAATTACAATTACATTTTTAGTGACGAGTATTACTGCTATGTATGCCCAATAAAGCTGTTTTTTAATGAAAAGATACAAATTTAATCTTAAATGTGGTTTAATGCACACTGTAGTGACCAGTAATCTACAGCTAATAGAGCAATTTGTGCTCTTTTTTTCCGCAGTAAAGCACATTTCACAAACATTGCAGTCCTACTGTACGTTTACTAGAGATATAACACCAAATATACAACATTATTCACAAGACAAATGCGCTAATACACAAAAAAACTTTGTAATGTAAACTGTTACTGACTATCATAAAACTCTAAACGCTGGCCACTGACATCAATGCCATTATATGATATGATGAGGTGCCTATAACGTGATCCAAGTTAGCCGTTACGCTTTTTCTAATGGTAAGAGCCACAGACCCTCATATCTCCCTATAATAAGACAATCTCTGGACTAGGAAAGCACAAGACATGGGCAGTGTCCAAAAACTTTACCCAAAAACCTTACGAGGCAATGACTTACTATAGCAGGCAGCGTCAAAGACAAAATTCTATAAAAATGGCTGCGCGTTTGTTTCTCTGGCGCATAAGGTCTATAACCAAGTCATGATAGGCCATGCTCAATATGCAACACTCAATTTTTTTTAACAAGGTGAAGGTCACTGCTTGTTCAATCCTGTCTTTTCTGAGATATTTAAATTGAAGGTTGGCTGTTATTTTAAGCAGTCTCTGTGCGTTAGCTCCAAGTGTGAACTCCGCAGTTGTGTTACATGTACAGTGCTGACACAAGCAGGCTGTGTTTTGTCATGCTAGGATGTATTCTCTTGTGTCTATCTTGGCACAAAGCCTGCAATGCTGGACATGGAGGGGTCATAGTCCTGTTGTTTCCTATGGCAACAGTGAAATGATTACTTTCTTAAAATAACTTGATGAAAACCGTGCCTGTTTGAAGCCCCTTTTCTTGCCAATGTCTAATTGGTGATTTCTCTGTAGTCTGTACGGTGTTTTATAGAAATGTACAATAATTATTGCTATAGTTGTATATAGTTCATTAATTAAACACATTTCCCCCCGGTTTCACAGACGAGGCTTAAACTAGTCCCAGACGAAAATGCATGTTTGAGCCATTTTAAATGAAAGCAACTTGCACTGACATATCTTAAAATATGTCAGTGCCATTGTTTTGTCTCAAGATGCACACGAGTAATGTTTTTTTTTTATAAAAGCTACTTAAATGCCCTTATTGAACTGTGAATAAGGCCTAATTCTGGCTTAAAGGGATACTTCACCTCTGGAAAGATGAATGTGTATTTAAAATGGGTCATTTATGTAGAAGAAATGTGAAATTATTTTTGAATTTGGAGCTTTCTAGACTGAGAAAAGCCAGAAAATGTATTTTTGGCTTATGTGGATGAAAGACAACAACTCCCAGAATGCACTTGCTTCGCTGCCCTAGGAGGCCACGCCTACCGGTAACAGAGCACAGTAGTTAAACAACAAGTCTAGGCAACTAGTGAGTCTCCGTGATGAGTCTGCCCGGGATTTCGAGATCGCCCAAAATGTCCGGGATTCGGCTTTTGCGTTCTACAGTCGCCATTCATTATGTTTACTGTGGCGAGCAGGACGAGGCCGAGGGCGTGATTACTGATGAGCGACACCTGTGAGACGCACCGGTCTCGTATCTCTCACGGAGGAGCGGGAATTTTCTTAGCAATGTTAAAACGCACATCAACCGATCACTTTGTTTAGCGTTCATGTAAACACTACATTCAGATTCACCAATCGGAATGAATTCAGTTAGATTGAAACAAAAGGTGTGCATGTAAACAATGAATGGCGACTGCAGAAAGCAAAAGCTGAATCCCTGACATTTTGTACGATCTCGACGGCCGGACATGTCCGGGAAAAAGAGGATGAATGGTAACCCCTACTACTCAGCTTTCTCCTACTAAGTTACTCAGCTTTCTCCACAGAACAAGAGCCTGCTAGCTTAGCTTCCAAAAAAGATGTCTGACACTATGTGTACATTCTGTGAGTGAGATCCCACCCTCTATTGGCGGGTTGAGAACATGCGGGACAGCTCCTACTACTGGCTGTAGTCTTTAGCCTCTGGCCAAAAAATCCTCCGATGACGCAAAATGATGATTTTTGCGTCATCGGAGGATTTTTTCCAGACAAAAAATACATAAATCTCTCGTCTCAGGGGGATATGAGGGTGGAAAGCACAGTAATTTGAAAATACTACAGGTTTCTACTAATACAAAGCTTAATGCTAAATCCTGAAGTATCCCTTTAATCTAAGCCATGGCTGTGAAACCAGGCCATTATGTATTTTATCTCGCTTTCCATGTATGGGGAATCAATCATCATGTAGGCCCTATCCATTATTTGTAGATAAGCCAGATGGGGAGAATACCTGTGGTGTTGTGCAGTGTGATTTTGAAGAATATTTGTTTTCTAAGTTGTGTATAATTATTATACAGGTCCTTCTCAAAAAATTAGCATATTGTGATAAAGTTCATTATTTTCCATAATGTAATGATAAAAATTAAACTTTCATATATTTTAGATTCATTGCACACCAACTGAAATATTTCAGGTCTTTTATTGTTTTAATACTGATGATTTTGGCATACAGCTCATAAAAACCCAAAATTCCTGTCTCAAAAAATTAGCATATTTCATCCGACCAATAAAATAAGTGTTTTTAATACAAAAAAAAAAGTCAACCTTCAAATAATTATGTTCAGTTATGCACTCAATAGTCAATACTTGGTCGGGAATCCTTTTGCAGAAATGACTGCTTCAATGCGGCGTGGCATGGAGGCAATCAGCCTGTGGCACTGCTGAGGTGTTATGGAGGCCCAGGATGCTTCGATAGCGGCCTTAAGCTCATCCAGAGTGTTGGGTCTTGCGTCTCTCAACTTTCTCTTCACAATATCCCACAGATTCTCTATGGGGTTCAGGTCAGGAGAGTTGGCAGGCCAATTGAGCACAGTAATACCATGGTCAGTAAACCATTTACCAGTGGTTTTGGCACTGTGAGCAGGTGCCAGGTCGTGCTGAAAAATGAAATCTTCATCTCCATAAAGCTTTTCAGCAGATGGAAGCATGAAGTGCTCCAAAATCTCCTGATAGCTAGCTGCATTGACCCTGCCCTTGATAAAACACAGTGGACCAACACCAGCAGCTGACATGGCACCCCAGACCATCACTGACTTTGGGTACTTGACAATGGACTTCAGGCATTTTGGCATTTCCTTCTCCCCAGTCTTCCTCCAGACTCTGGCACCTTGATTTCCGAATGACATGCAAAACTGTGCAACAGTCCAGTGCTGCTTCTCTGTAGCCCAGGTCAGGCGCTTCTGCCGCTGTTTCTGGTTCAAAAGTGGCTTGACCTGGGGAATGCGGCACCTGTAGCCCATTTCCTGCACACGCCTGTGCACGGTGGCTCTGGATGTTTCTACTCCAGACTCAGTCCACTGCTTCCGCAGGTCCCCCAAGGTCTGGAATCGGTCCTTCTCCACAATCTTCCTCAGGGTCCGGTCACCTCTTCTCGTTGTGCAGCGTTTTTTGCCACACTTTTTCCTTCCCACAGACTTCCCACTGAGGTGCCTTGATCCAGCACTCTGGGAACAGCCTATTTGTTCAGAAATTTCTTTCTGTGTCTTACCCTCTTGCTTGAGGGTGTCAATGATGGCCTTCTGGACAGCAGTCAGGTCGCCAGTCTTACCCATGATTGCGGTTTTGAGTAATGAAACAGGCTGGGAGTTTTTAAAAGCCTCAGGAATCTTTTGCAGTTGTTTAGAGTTAATTAGTTGATTCAGATGATTAGGTTAATAGCTCGTTTAGAGACCCTTTTCATGATATGCTAATTTTTTGAGACAGGAATTTGGGGTTTTCATGAGCTGTATGCCAAAATCATCAGTATTAAAACAATAAAAGACCTGAAATATTTCAGTTGGTGTGCAATGAATCTAAAATATATGAAAGTTTAATTTTTATCATTACATTATGGAAAATAATGAACTTTATCACAATATGCTAATATTTTGAGAAGGACCTGTATATGCATCGTTTATGCTTTTATTAATTGAGAGACTACACGGACTGTCAGGTACAGGCTTGACTTGATAATCCAGATTCAAGAGGCTTGACGCAGATGAATGACGAAATAACATTTAGGAACAATAATGAGAAACACCAGCATGAAACGTTAACACAAGACAGTGAACAGAGAATAGGCTTGTTTGAGATGAGCAAAATCTGCGCAGAACCGATCACAAGTGATCACCGCGAGATGCATGCCGGTTAGAAATGTGTCCGAGTGCGGTCCGACTTGCTCTGATGTCATGCTGACGTATGTCAAAAAAACTCTCGCAATCGCAAGGCGCACGTGCCGGATTCAAAAGCACGATGGGAAACGACTTGCTGACGACAAAGCTTAATGCTCATTGGATTCAACGACCCTGATGTAGGCCTATTGATCTCTTTTCAAAGGTTTCTCATTCCAGTTTTACTCTGATATCATGTTTTAGGTGTATACATTATTTGTGAATATTCCCAAACTCTCTGACAGTGCGATCTCTTAATGGGTTATGTGATGTCATTTTTATAAAAAAATTATATAAAAAACACGTGTCTGTATTAAAGAAAAAAAGGTTGATAAACACGTATTTGGAATGTAATTAAATAACAAGTACTTTGGGTGTCTTGTTCATTATATTTATTTTCATATAGCAACAGAACTTAAATTACATCCAGTTTATTAGCAACACCGTGCAAGGGCGTGAATCCCGTGAATCCCGCGATATCAGTCTTTGATCTCACAGGTCTCAGATCCACAGATCCAAGAGATCTGTCCGGCTTGCCTGCACTTTTTTCGCTCCTCCTCTCACTGCAGCCGCCTAACCTCGCATACATTTCAGGTGAGGCAAGGCACATCTCAAACAAGCCTATGACTGAGGGTTTAAAATACACTGGAATGATGACAAGAGGCTAAATGAAGGACAGGTGTAGGTGATTAGTTTACATGATACAAACCAGGCAACCTATGGAAACTAACAAGATAACAAATGAGACATGGGAAACAGGAACTAAAAACACAGGAACTGAACATAGGCACAACAAGACAAAAGAAAATCAAAATAGTGAAATAGATTTGCACTTTTAAAAATGTGTATATATATGTGTATATATATATATTTTTTATTTTTATTTTTTTATTTATTGTTTAGAAATGTTTATAAATAAAAATGGTTTGTAATAATCAACAAATGTACATTTCTTTCAACTATAATTAATCTATAATTAACCGGGAACGATTTCTTTCTGCTCGATCAATGCGAAAGGAGGCAACCTCAGCTTCCACCCCATTGGCCAATGAGCCATCCATCGACGTGGATGACCTGGAGGAGTTCATTCTCAGACCCGCCCCCCAAGGGGTGACTGTGAAATGCAGGATCACACGAGATAAGAAGGGCATGGACAGGGGCATGTACCCCACATACTACCTCCATCTGGAGAGGGAAGACGGCAAGAAGGTCAGACACACCGAAACACTGATTATTCCCAATTTTTCTAAAGAGTTTTGGCTTATTTGTAATTCATCATTGTTGTGCACCAGCAATCAAGACCTATCAGTGATACTCCATTCCTCCAATTTGCCGAAGTGCTTGACATGATTGATTCTGATGAAAGTAACCAAATTTAGCCCACAGAGATATTTAGCAGCTATATATGACAATTAACCATAATATTGCTTCCCTGGGCAAATGTTTATCTTAAAAATATCATGGCTAATCGTAAATCACATAAAAATAATGTGTTCTATGATGCATCTTATTTACCAAATAGAATGAATATATATATATATACGTTATACACACACACTCAGCTGTATGTGTATTAGTTGTTTATGCCATTCCTCAAAATACGGAAACACTTTCTCAGAATGTTTATATAAGGTCTCTTTCTCTGATGAATCTTTTGATGTCAGTTTTGTGCTGCTGTTCGGTGCCCAATTAAATTCTGTCACACTTTAGGTTTTCCTTTTAGCCGGGAGGAAGAGAAAGAAGAGCAAAACATCCAATTACCTCATCTCCATCGACCCAACTGACCTATCACGAGGTGGCGAGAGCTTTATTGGCAAACTGAGGTATAGTTAAAGATGATTCATCGTGTCGTGTGATTCATAAGGTAACCTAAATCTATGCTGTTCTTGTAAAGATAAGAGAAAAGTGTCTCTTTCTAAACATTCGAGGGGGAGCTTTAATTAGTTTAATGAGCATTTTTTAAAAACAAACTTAATATGAAATATGTTAAAATGCCATAATTCTTATTAGTACAAAAATTGCTTTAATTTTTTTTTCTTTTGATTTGGGGGTGAAATATGGATAGACATAGTCTTGGCAGTCTTTGGTAGCCTCACCCTTTTTCTGTGACAGGATGCAGTCTTAATTGTAAGAGTTTCTTCAATAAGCGCAATGTCATCCCCACAGATCAAACCTTATGGGTACCAAGTTTACAGTATATGACAGCGGTTTGAACCCAGTCAAGACCACCTCCAGCCTAGAAGCAGGGAATCTACGACAGGAGCTTGCAGCGATCTGCTATGTGAGTTTGTGAGCATGGTGTTGGTCAGTGGCCAGCAGAGAGCCATCACCCAGCCCTAAGGGCACATTGGCCACTAGATCTTAGAGCCACGAGCAATGATGAGCCAAGTCTGACCTCTGCTGGTTGGTTTTGTGCATAGAAATACCACTGATAAAGGGAAAACGGGTTAAAATGATTTATTATTCTTTAAATTTGATAAATGACAATTATGTAAACATGGTGGCTAATTTAGATGTGAATGATTGTTTGTCTTCTGTTCTACAGGAAACTAATGTTTTAGGGTTCAAGGGGCCTCGAAAGATGAGTGTCATTATTCCTGGAATGAACATGGACCATGAAAGAGTCTCCATCAGGCCTCGAAATGTGAGTGCAGGGCTGTTTAGAATGCCTTTGTGTGTATAAATATGAAAAATAAACATGAAACAGAAGTTGTGATAGTCTTTTAGTCCCTGTCGTGATGGATATCTGAGTGAAACGGCTCGGAAAAGAAAAATCTAGGGCAGGACTTGATTTTGTCCATCGGTAATTGATTATTAGGGCACATGAATAATAATAAAAAAAGATGTTTACAGATAAATCATTTATAATAAATACAGCAATATTTCATAAAAAAAAATATGAACTGTCAATTTTGATTTGGATTTAATGAGCCAGAATCTCAAAAGGGTAAAGGTAGTTCTCAAAATATGGTGACAATCACTTAATTCTAGTAATGAAAAAGATTTCAACAATGTATTTTGTTCAATTTGCCAGGTGCTTAAAAAATATATTGTACCTATCTGGCAAAATACTATGCATTTGTTTGTTTATTCATTCATTCACTCAGCATTAGTACTACATCTACCGAGTGCAAAAAAGTAATTTTGTATAATATGAATAACATAAAAAGAATGTTTTACTGGTGTCATCAATGTGAAATGACTAGCACTATGAAAATACAAAAACCTTTGGAGGAAGAAGGAGAGGCAGTTCAAATGTGCACATGATAATATCATTGAAGACGTTATTAATTTGCATTTTACTTAAATCATTTACAGTATTTATGTATCATTTATGTTACATGAGCAGTAAAATACTATGTAATGTCTGTTTTGGGCCAGTGCAGAACAATAGTCATGGGAAACCAATAAACGCTGACCTATATTTTATATACAGATGTTAGTATTAGCAGCAAAGTTACATGCTCTAATGGAAAGCTAATCCTCCCCCACATCTGTCTATCGCAGGACCATGAGTCTCTACTGGCTCGATGGCAGAACAAAAGCACTGAGAGTGTGATAGAGCTCCACAACAAGACGCCTGTGTGGAACGATGATACTCAATCATATGTGCTCAACTTCCATGGCAGAGTCACACAAGCATCTGTCAAAAACTTTCAGATCATTCATGACAATGACCGTGAGTGAAACAAAAGCATACACACCACATACTCTAGAGATGGATTTTATTTGGTCTTTACTGTACCGAAGAATAGCAGTTCATTTTTCTGTATTCTCGCTCTTTTCTGTATACAGCGGATTACATTGTGATGCAGTTTGGTCGCGTAGCAGAGGATGTCTTCACAATGGATTACAACTACCCCATGTGTGCCCTGCAGGCATTTGCTATTGCTCTGTCCAGCTTTGACAGCAAGCTAGCCTGTGAGTAGCCGTGTCTCTCTGCCAGCCACAACCACGAAAGAACCCAGCCAGACTGCTTTACAAGCTGAATCACTGAGTCAAGGGCTGCGGTGAACTCCACGGCAGCAGAGTCCCTCTCAAGATCCTCCTTTGAAGGCATGAATGTGTATAGAGTTTGTGTCTTTGTGTGAATGTGTGTGAACAAGGTGTGTGTGTGTGTGTGTGTGTGTGCGTGTGTGAGTGAGGTTTCTGCTCTTTTCTTTTTTTTTTTAAAAGGGCATCACAGTTGGGGGAAAGCACAAAGACTTCACAATTCAAGAGATTATCGGAATATGGTGCATTCATTTAAATCGACAGTCAAAATTCTCCTAGTCGCTTTCTTTACTTAACCGACAAGGTAACACTAACATTTTGCTAATGTGAAAATAAGGATCTTTTACAGTAGTACTTTTGTCCCTAAGATTAAAATCGTACGTCATTTTGCCATGGTCGTAATTCTAAAAAAAATTAATGTTCACTAACAGTTTGGATATTTTATTTAATGAACTTTTGTCAAATGATTTTCAAATGTGACATTTCTTGAGTTATACATGTCACGTGTGTCATTTAATGTATCGATTCATGCTTCACAAGGACTCCAAAGCCAGTATGAAGTATGACAGACTAACATATTTATCCACTATTTATGTATTTATAGATTTCCATTCCATCTTCTGCTTGTGTCTTACCCCATGTCCATAATTCACTGTGCTTCAAGCACAAAACTTGACCAGGGCGCCTTCACATCTGAGCTTTTGGTGCGGATTCATTACAATTCAACTGATGAATGTGTGACACTTCCACAAAATAGATGTAATCATTATCAGTTCATGTCCTTCTGCACTTAAACTGCCTCAATTATGCTATTTTAAATATTCCTAATTTTGTTTTGGAGGTCTCCTGCAATAGGTTTACATACATCCAGGGTTAAAAAAAAAACACACTTTCATTTTCTCATAATATGCATTGCAGCATCGCCTCATTTCTCATTCGCCCAACAAAACGCTCATTACCATATTTGAATTTCAGCTCCAGAGGCTTCTTCAGCACTTGTATACACACAGTGATATGAATAGTAGGCTAATGATGGCGTCAGTGTTCGCAGGCAGCCAATGAAGACCCTAGACTTGGATAGATGTCGATTATGCAAATTTGGTTCAAACCTTCGAAGGTTCGTGCAGAAAGTAAGATTGGAATTACTGACGACTCATTTCAGGCAGTTCAGAATCGGTTCTTTCTTTTGGGAGACAACAACTCCATTCATCGTGCATTTTAATCTTTGGAACTTTGTAGACCTATTACATTTACAAACAGCTATATGACATACTACTGTACATGAAAGGAAATAAACGAAAAAGCATAATGGGGCACTTTAAAACAATTTATCTACAGTGTTTGAGTGGACATGAGATCCTAAAACAGTTGTAATGTCATTAGAAGCAACCAAAATGAATGGTTCACCAGTAGCTCGAGTGTGAAAGACCCAAATAGTGGCAGAAGTGTGTAGTAAATGTATTTTATGTGAGGGTCAATATCAGGGTAAGTACATTATCATCTCATACTGACCCACTACATCTGTAGGGGAATGTACTGAATGGAGCACTTTATTCAGAGATTAATGGCGGAAAGCTGTAAATATTGTGCCTTTGGACGAGACACTGCTTGAAGTTGGTGAGATGATACATTGTTTTTTTCAGACAGTGTTGTTTATCATGCAGCTACTTATAAGCTTCTGTCGTTGTTCTTGAGAACAACCTGTATATTTGCAGTATACTGGGCTGTACATTTCCAAAAAGATCAGGTTTAGTTGCCTGCTTGTGGAGTAGATGATTTTCCAGAACAGAGAAACTACTTATTTGACACAGTGAGACGACGAGTACTGTTTGTTTACATGCACTTTAAAAGTTCGATTTCGGTCGGCCTAAAATGATGATTTGCCATGTAAACACTTTAGTCCAATTGAAATTACACTAGTCGGATTTTTGCAAAGTCAGACTAACAGTCCTTGGTAACGTGATTGTAGCTGGATTATAACTGTGCATGTAAACATGCTTAGAGACAGTTTGTTCAAGTCATCTATAACATTTCCTGCTGCATGAAGATACAGTAGTTGTGAAATATGTGGCTGAACAAAGTGTCTGTGGAATTTACACAACTCAAATCATCATCCTTAATTGTACTATAGCTTGTACACTTCTGTGTCTTTGCTAAACAATGCAGATGAATAAAGAAGGGAAATTGTATGAAGTTGTATTATCAGTGTGGCAATTTAACTAACAAAATCAAAAAAACTGCTGTACCAATTGCCCTTAAAGCCAAATTATAAAGCATTGTAGAAGTCTTCAGATGGCCACACTGATTTACTAGCTCTGCTCCATTACGCATTAGCATGCCTTGAAGTTTATTTTTATCATGCCATTTTTCATTCCAGTTGAATGTCACAACAAAGTCTTGGAAATGGGATAAATCGAAACATTTTGGTCATTGAGTAAAATATAATAACATTAATGTTGGATGAATGTTTTCAAGAAATTAAATAATCCTAATTGTATTATCTGCCGAGTGCCCTTTCAAGTTTGTTGTCCATCAAATGGGGAAAAAACCTTCTTAAGTTCACAGCATTTTAGGTTTAAAATCATCTACTAATATTTAGAATGTTTGTATGTCTTATCAATCCAAGATAAATGCAAGAAATGTGCTGCAAATGGCATACCTTTTTTGTTACTATTCTCTTTGGTCATAAATAATGTGGCTTCAGACATCACATTTTGAAATATATATCTTTCCCTCCAGAAAAGTATTTTTACGGTTACTTTTTTAGATAAGAATATAAAGTGTATATTAAATTCTTTGGCCAAATTGCAAAGAAATATGTGTAAGTTATTAAAGTTTGTTTTTTAACTGCCTCGTGATACCATTCCAGCCCTTTCTATACTTTATGTAATGCTCTAACAGTTTTGGGTTTGCTCTAAATGGTTAAAAACACTGAAAATGAATGTGTTTTTCTGCTATTTTTTGTATGTTTGAAAAAAATCTCACCACTCTTGTGTTAAAGTGATAACGTATAACTGTTATGTCACACTGTTTTGTAAAATGTGTACATTGGTCAATATACAGTGTTTGTACTCAAGATATGAAAACAAATAAATTGAACGTGAATTTTCACATCTCAAATATTTAAGATTAAATCGTTTTATTTGCTGTACTTCAATGCTCATGAAATAATGTCCATACAAGCCATTTTGTTCAAACTTTTTATTGGCAAAGATTTTCTTTGGGAAAAAAAGAACTTAAAAGTGTTTATTATAACATAACATACTCTGAAAAATGTTCTCTCTCATGTTCTTTGAAACATTTGAAAGAAACCTTTAATTTTATTTTACTAGACAAGCCTAAATGATTACAGAGAAACTCAAAGTAATAGTTCACTTAAAAATAAAATAATTCTATCATCATTTACTCACCCTCAAGTTGTTTCAAACCTGTATGAATTTCTTTCTTCTGCTGAACACAAAAGAAGATATTTTGAAGAATGTCGGTAACCAAAAAGTTGATGGACCCCATTGACTTGTATAGTATTTTTTTTCTTACTATGAAAGTCAATGTGGTCCATCAAATGTCTGGTTACAGATAAATAACAGAAATTTATCTGTACATTCTGTAAATGACAGAATTTTCATTTTTAAGTGAACTATTCCTTTAAGCCTCCTTAAGCAAAGTGAGAAAGATTCACAGTAAGGTATGTTTATATAGAGGTCTAGAGGGTAATTAAACAGAAAACCTTTGTTTTATTTTGACCGACGGGTCACTTCTTCACCTTTTGTCTCTTGTGACGCATTCTAAGAGTCCCAGAGGCTTGATCTTCGGGAGACTCTGACCTATTGGAGATGACGGTTACCTCAGGTTGGTATGATTGTAGGAAGTCAAGGAGGTCTACCTCCTGTTCCTCGGGATCACATTCCACATCATCATTAAATCCCAGGCTCTCGGCTTCCATCAGTGGGTCTTCCTCCTTCTCTTCCGTCTCACCCTGCCTTTCTTCATTACGTTGATCTCCCTCCTCTTCATCACCATTTTCTTCCTCTTCACAGTCTTCCTCACCAGTTTCTTCCTCTTCACTGTCTTCCTCAATAGTTTCTTCCTCTTCATTCTCCTCCTCCTCTTCTTCTCTTTCATGTTCTTCTTCCTCCTCTTTCTCATATTTGCAGCCAACAGCGCCACCCTTTGGATAATGGAAAACGTGTCTGTGATCACTGAAAGTGATTTGTCGCCTTCTGCTTGGTTTCTGTTTCTCTTCTCCTTCACTTGGGCACTCTAATCTGTCATCATCCTCATCGATTTCTTTAGGAAGGCAGGGCTGGTCTTCTCTAACTTCTTCCTCATCTTCCTCCTCCTCATCATCTTCCTCCTCATCATCATCCTCTTCGTCTTCCTCTTCTTTTTCTCCTTCATTACTCTCCATGTTCACCTCCTCGTTTCCACGTGCATCATCAACAAGCTCATCCTCCTCTTCTTTCTCCATTCTCTCAGCAAGCTCCTCAGCTGTGGGTATGGTTTGGTCTGGTTCTTCTAGTATAACACTAGGAAATCTGCGCCTGCGGGAGGTCATGTCAAACTCTGGGTAGGTCTCATCTGGATATCCTTGGGAAGCAATGAATAAAATTAGACGCAAAATTCAAGGAACGATCAATTGAAACCGCAGCGGACCCAACATAAAACCTTGAGGTATACCTTCCCAGTCTGCAGTATAGGGCGCCTCCTCAGCCTCCTCCTCCGGCGTGGCTCCCTCTCGCAACTGTCTCTCCTTCATCATTTGAGTGATCTCCTTCAACTGTTTGAGCTTTCTCTCCTCACGCCTCCGTGTGCCCCGGCGTGACCTGAAATCAAAACAAGTCAGAGACTACGTTAAAACAACTAATAAAAAATCACAAATCAGAACCACTGCTAAAACACACCCACATCTCAATGATAATCATGAATCAAAATTGTACTTTATTGGATCAAAAATGTGCAAGAAGTATGTTCTGTGAATATACAAACACTTTTAAATATTTACATTTATGCATTTGGTAGATGCTTTTATCCAAAGCGACTTTGCATTCAAGGTACACATTTTAGAAGTAGGCTATGTGCATTCCCTGCTAACATCAAGCTCTACTGACTGAGCTACAATAAGGTTTTTTTTGTAGAAAAAAATTATATAATATTTTTATTTAATTTAAAAGATGGTATCAGCTACAGCTAAAACAGTAGCTAGAATAATCACAGACGAATAAGGCTGTGAATTTGCTCTTTTCCTTTTCAAAGGATTCCATTTCAGAGTGTCATGCAGATCATGTCAGTGCACTGTCAGCTCTTTGATCAAAAAGATGATGGATGGTGGAAGGAGAGAAATATACCTGGCAGATGGGTGGACAACTTTAGATATTCTCTTTTCTCTGACTTTTTCACTCATTCTGGCCTGCAGCTGCACCAGCTGACAAGTAGCTGTCAGGGAGACAATTGAATGAGGTTTAGAATAATGTTAGATACAGAGATTCACTCAAACGTGGCCGCCACACTCTGCAGTCTCATTGTGGCATGTGCCAAAAACTGGGATGCATGAGAATGAGAAATATTTTACACAAACTTTAAAAGCAAAATCTTTTTTTTTTTTTTTCTAGACTCAACAGAATTAATAAGAATAGTTTGATCATTTTATACACATGCTGGTACAGGGAGTGAGTGCTGTGCTGATGCTCTATCGGTTACTCCCTCCACCCTTTGGCATCCATTTTATGAATAGAGCTAAACCTCTTACTACTGATCCAAAAGACATGCAGTTAATTGGTGTTAGGAGCTGCTAGGCTTATAAAACATTACTTCTGATTGCTAATCCGGGTCGAATAAAAGGGAGAGAACAAAGCTTAGACAGGATCTTAATCTACCTTATCTGGAGTTGCATGTCGTTTAGCTACTGATATGCTGAGAATGCATGTAAAGAATAATCAGACATGTGGTTTAAAAAGGGTCACAACTTATCAATATATGGTGCTATTAAGATTATCTAGCATCTTTGTTAGGTATGTAAAGTTGTCCAACTAGAGTTGATGTATATGCAAACTCACGCATCTCTTCAAACGTGCATTCTGACTGCAGCATAGGGAATCTGCACTCTTGTTGATGAGGTTTGTCCTTACAGGTCAGCTGTTGAAAGATCAAGGTAAATGACACTGATTTTGCTACTAATAACCACATTAAAAAATAATGGCAAAAAAATGTATCATGGTTTCCACAAAAAAATTAAGCAGCACAACAGTTTTCAGCACTGATGATAATAAGAATGATTTCTGAAGGATCATGTTACACTGAAGACTGGGGTAATGGCTGCTGAAAATTCAGCGTAGCCATCACAGAAATAAATTTCATGTTAAAATATATGAAAGGTGCCGTATTGGAGAGAGTTGTTTCCCCCACCTCTTCAGACTCGATGCTCACGCTGGTTGCCATATTGAGGAAAAGCAACAGGAATGAGCGCATGCGACAATGGTAGGCAACAAGACTTACACTGTAAGTTGATCGTTTTTTTTATATGCCTCTGGTCACAGAGCTTTTTAGATGGATGCCGAGGCTTTTTAGGTCACATACAATCTGCGATCTCTGACCCAGTTAATTTGCTTGATTCCATGGCTGCAATATGCTGTGTTTTCCACCAACTGGCAACCCGTGGTGTCAAAATACTATTGGATAAATAGGCAATGGGTGAGATCACACAGACCAAAACAAAAACAGACATCCCGACACACATTTAAAATTTCCGATTACACTACCACTCAAAAGAGCAGAGCAGAGCAGAGCGGCACATATGGTAGTGTGTACTGTGTATATTAAAGCACCTGTTGGATCTTTATTCCAGGGGAAGTATTATTACAGGATAGCTGCTGAACACCGCAGATGTCCAAATAGCTTCTGATAAGACTCACCTTGAAGAACAGGTAGAGGATATAAAGGAAAATTCCAAAGCCGTAGACAGGGATGACCTGGCCCAGCAGATTCGGCTTGCGAACACCCTTGACTCTGGCAATTGCCTCAGGATTGTAATGCTTGATGTAATGAGAGTCAGTGTCCCAGTGATCATGATCTTCAGGGAATGAATGTCTGTGTCGTGAGGGAGGAAAATGCCCTGGCCCAACTTCAAAGCAAAAATAAAATAAAAAATAAATATATATAATCATTTACAGACACTGCACTCAAAAAGAGCAATTTCTAGTCAGTGAAACATAATTGAAAATTTTAACATGCAGTATAGTAAATTATATATTTTGTTCAGCCATTGAAAGTCACAATTTAAAAAAATATCCATGACTGTAGGAACCATGATTAATCAATGTCCTTCCAGTACAAACATTTACCATTGTAACTACAGTAAAAATAAATAAATAAACCGAAATTAAACAAATTGACAAAGATTCAGAAAGCTCCTTATAGGCTAAGGCTTTGAATGATCTTAAAAGACATTAAATATGATCATATTTAATGATTGTCACTATGGTTACCGTGCTAAAGTGTCAAAGATGTCATAAGGAATAAATTAGGATAGATTTGTTGTGGAAATGACATTGGGAAAGTGATCCTCACATTATGAATCCACACACGGGGAGGAGGTTGAGGTTAACGGGACCTGAGCACAGAGATCACAGGGATGGTCAAATCAGCGCTGAAATTACTGAAACAGTCAATGAGGGGTGAAGGATTATATTTATGTCTCATGATCATCATCTTACCATTCGACTGCACTGTTTCTTTCTTCACTCTGGGCAAAAATAATTTGGGTAGGAATAAAGACATGCAGAGGACGATGCAAGAGACGAAGGTGATCTTCTGACATGTTGAAACAGCCATATCGATACGTGAGAGGAAAAAGGTGATGTAGGACAAATGGTGAAGAGCGTCAACATCACGACATCACTTCTACGAAATTTCCTGTTGATTCGCTGAAGCGGAAATGACTGAAAACATTAATCCGACATCCGGTAGAGATTAGACTGACGACTCATTAAATCAGCTCACTCAGAATCATCAATCGCATTCGTGACATGTTATTAACCTGTTTTTATGAGATTATTTAGTCTTTCGCTCGTAATTGTATTTTTGTTCGCTGTCTTTACATGGATACAGGGGATCTGTCCGTACAAATATTTCACAATTAAATTTCACAAATGTAATGTTGTTCGTGTTCCTCTTGTTGTTATTCACTTGTTTGTCCGGTAGATGGCAGTACTGTGATGATTTTAGCGCTCATGAGGACTCATCAAAAGCCTCCTACACAGAACCTTTTGGTTGTGGACTATCTCCCTATGACATACATTCTAGTTTGTAATTCAATTAATAATAAAACAATTCATTTTATTTTGTATAAAATTAAAATGTATTTCCTAAAGTGTAACACAAAACATTAAATGTCACCACATATTATTGTGCTAACAATGATCTACTGATGCATTTCTGCCACATCATAAGAAAAATCTGATTATCAGACCATATCAACATACAGTAATATCAACAGTTTTACTGACTTACCCCATATATATATATATATATATATATATATAATTATTTTATTATATATAATAAAATAATAAGTGATATAGATATATTTATCTAATTTAATTAGATGTATTAATAAGATATGTAAAATATTATAAGTATCTAATCCTACCCTAGTTCTTTTTCCCTGCTATTTATGTAGAACCAGTCATGAAAAGGCTACACAGTCATTTCCATTTTTATGTTAATTTCTGTGTTTTTAAAATAATCCGTTCATGGCGTTCTCTAATACCTTTGAGCGCATAACATGCTCCACCTTAATGTGAAAATACCTTGTTGCTAAGCTAAATAAATATTCATAATTCATTTACATTTTCAATAATTCCTAATTAAAGTTTTGAGTTTTACCACATGCAGCTTTAATGAGCTCGTGGAAAAAGCATTTCCAGTTTTCAAAGGAATAGAGGAAATTGGAAAAGTGGATTGGTCCTTAAGTTTGGCATGGGGATGTAATGTGAGTCTGTGTGTGAGTGTGTGTGTGCTGATATTTCCTGCAGAGCTCAAACTCTTCCTCCAGGCCAGCTCATCTTTTATCTGTTTACTGAGCTGCTCTGTTATCAACGTTTTAACAACCTAATTATTCTTCATTAGGCTCAATTTAAGTACCACAGATGCACTGCCACATAAGTCGCACTGTGTCTGACACCTCACACGAGGCCTGTGCATAGTTATTTTTTCAAAATAAATAAAATGGTTTTGTCTGCTTTTCTATGAAAGTCTTAGTCCTCATATTGTTTATGCTAACAGGAAAATATGCCATTGACTCTTATGAAATGCTTGTGCCCCTTCCTGTCGTGTGAGCAATAGATTCACATACATGGCAATCAACACACCTTCACCAAACAAAATTGCTTTCAGAAATAGCAATCGTTTTCTTTCTCTATATTCATGCAAGTGATTTGTTGTGCAATGTCACCTTACTCAGTGGTGGCGGACCAGGTTCGCATCGAACCCCTTTTCGCTCTCTCTCTCTCTTTCTGGCTTTGTCTAAATCAGTCAATTTATTTCCAAATTGCAAGTTGAGTGCGAGAGAAAGGGCTTCTTTCACTGCTGGGGTGAAATATTAAATCAATGCACACTCCCACATGTCGAGTGGGCTTTAATTTTTTTATTTAATATTGATGGGAATGAAGCTGGCTTTGAGTGTCATGAAGGACATACTGTTGCAAATCCAGGGGCCTTTACATTCATGAAGGAGAGACAGTGATGGTGAGTGAATGTGCTGGATTAATGCGGACCTGTGAGGAAGCTTGGCGGCGTGGGCCAGGCCTTGAGACGCTGGCCAGTTGTCATCCTTCATTTATTATCATGAGGAGAGCAGGGCCGCAAATATGAGGCTTTGAATAATCTGGAGCGGTTCTGGAACAGATATATTGTCAGATGAATGCTCAAAAGAAGATGAAGAATCTGAGTTAAAATGCTTGCCAGACCTTCGACCGGTCTTCTTATTGTGGATAGGGGAAGCGTGTGAGTGTTTAGGAGTAAAACATAACTGGACAGTACTGCGAACGTGCTGATGATGTACAGTATTATGCGGTGAAGAGAGGAAGCAGATGGGGATCCTGATTAAGGCTGAAACGCAGTGTAAATAGTAATCTGATCTGCAGTGTCGTGCCTGTGGGAAAGCAGCTTGGGTTTTGGCCAGAGAGCACTGATGTCCTAAACCAGCACAAGACGTCACATTACTCGCTGCTGCACCCCTGACTCAGACAGAGGGTGAAGGGTCAAAGTTCAATTGTTAGCAAGCGTTTTGTACTGTATTTTGTCCAGTATTTGAATATTGTTTTGTGAATTGTATCCTCCAATGATCATAAAATATTTTTAAAGCACTCGAGTAAAGAAGAGATCAGTCCAGGTTCATTTATATTATTAGGATGATGTTAATGGAAGGTGGATATGTTCTCATGACAATATTGATTTTATTTTAAATGTTGTCATTTTATACATTAATCACAATATTTGTATTGTTTTGTGCTTAAATGTTTTTTTTTATACTGTTTGGGTTTGGTAAGTAAAAACAGTAAAAAATATATAGTTAAAAACAGTAATATTGTGAAATATTATTACAATTTAAAATAACTTATATATATATATATATTTTTTTTTAACATGAAATTTATTCTTGTGATGGCAAAGCTGAATTCTCAGCATCATTACCTCAGTCTTTAGTGTCACATGACCCTTGAGAAATCATTCTTATGCAAGATTTGGTCCCCAAGAAACCTTTTTTATGATTATCACAGTTGAAAACAGTTGTTCTGCTTAATATTTGTGTGGAAATGTGATTTATTCCCCCCAGCATCCTTTCATGAATAGAAATTTCAAAAGAACAACATTCCTTTGAAATAGAAACATTTGTAAGATTCTAAATGTCTTTACAGTCACTTTTGATTAATTTAATGCTAAACAAAATTAATTTCTTAAAAAAAAAGGGTAGTGTATATAAGACTTAATTTCTTCAAAAATTCACTGGAATAAAAATTGTGACATTGATCTAGCCACGGTCTCCCATTATTGCCCCAGTGGAATTCAGATATTTGCGAGTGCCTGCATACACTGCAAACATTATTCAAGGAGGAAAAGAAATATACTAATTACCACAGCTAGTGCTGCATTTGCATTGAAATTGCTGTTTATGAAGCCAGTGTCAGTTTTCATTAAACTGCTTGGTGACAAACTACATACAGTATATGGCACAAATGTCAGTGTATTAAAACAGTGGTCCAAATTCCTCCCAGCAAGGTAATTATGTGCCCGGCCTATCGTTTTAAAGGTAAGCCATAACAGATTGTGTTTTCACACAGGAAACAAGCAATTGATTGGCTTTGTTTGACATCTAGAGTTGTTTGCTAGTGCGCTGCATCTTTGTTGTGGACGCTGTATGTGGTGGAGAGAGTGTGGGCAGGCGGAGAGGGCCACTGTGAGGGTGGAGAAGGTGCAGAGGTTCAGCTGATAGAAGCTTTGATCTCAAACAGCAGGGGGGAAATGACATTATTTAAGGTGCCTCACCAGCACGACACTGCAGCACAGCGAGAGATGCGCTGTGAAATTGGAGGTTCAGTTGCACATGGTTGAAATGCCGGACACACACACACTTGTGCATAAACACACAGACATGCATATTAGCAGCAGAAAAGCCAGCCACAGGCGAGTCGGCATCACAAGCGCACACATGCCTCCTCACTGTGAGGAATGTAAATGCTTCAAATACATGTGGACCCTTCAAGTGTGACAGAGAGCAGTTTGTTTTTACATGGGCTCACTCAGAGTGGATGCCTGGACATGAATTCAGAAGATTAGGACAGACGAAAGAGAATTCAGACCTGGAAAAAGTTTAGATTGGATATTTATTTAGTTTGCCACTGTAATGACAATAACATCAGCATAATATATATTCATCTAGTACATGTAACAATGTCCAACCCCAGGTGCATGTATACTAATTTGAATCCAGGAACTTAAACAAACCAAATGATCTTGCATGGAATGGTATTTTAATATCCCATGATTCCCATTATAGGTCTAATGGATAAAATATCCATTTTAGGCAAGCAATTGATAGTTGTGAACTGTGTAGTAGCCTACTCAGGTCCTTGATCAAATAATTTCTGATATAAATATAACAGCACAAACATCAGTAGCCTAAGTGTATTACTGATTATTTTTTATCTGGTTCGTCCTGCTCTGAAATGGAGCAATGTTAAATAAAATGACAGAAATTGATATAATAATGCCAAAAGGTCAAAAGATTAAACACAAAACCAAGCAAAGAGGACACTGACAACGCGCAGGCAGACAAGACAGAGCAGGTTACTTTGGATATTAAACAAAGTCTCCATTTTCAAATTTTGTCAGTTTTATACCGAAATTCGATCTCATTTCGTCTGTAAACACTTGCGTTACCACGGCAACGACTGACGCTTTTGTATTACATTCTAGAGCGGCCTGGCCTGGCACGGAATGGAACGGGTACAAAAAGAGAACCGCTCAGCCCGACGGTGGAAAAGCGGCTTTTGGTTTTGGATATTAAACAAAGTCCCCGTTTTCAAATTTTGTCAGTTTTATTACGAAATTCAAACAATAACGGGTTTCCCGCGGAATTGGGCTTCTTTTACCCTGTTGTCAATGTCGTGAGTTTTTGTACCCTCGGAACGCGATATGTAGGCTACCCTCCGGAAAGAGACTTTTACTGGGGGACACGACCCTCCCAGAACGTGTGGGCCAGTTTTGTATGTTTTAGTTTTGATTAGCAATTGGACGGCTTTTGTTGTGCAGCAGACCGAGTGCCACTGCCTCCGTGCTCCGTGACAGATCTCTAGCAGCTAGTGCCTCAGCTCAAGCCACACGTGGATGGATCATCTCT